TAAAACCTATAGCCTGACTCCTATGTTCTTATGTCAGTAATCTTATTGCTAAACTTCTATGTCTACATTTTAATACTCATAGAGTTGCTCCTTCAAACTTTTCTCGTTCGCCACATTATACTATTGTGTCTCATTTGATCATTTCACCCTTCCTATTACTACACATTATTAGAGTCATAAGTATTTGTCTAAATCGGTATCGACTTTCTCTTTCACTCGTTCATTTTTATACACTTTTATATATTTATACATAAATATTAAGACTTGAATACATGTTGGGTGTGGGCGTGGGTGTGGGTGCGAGCGAAGAGACGATTCGCATCCACATCCCACATCCACATCTACACCCACACCCACACCCACACCCACACCCACCCACACCCACACCCACACACCCACACACCCACACCCACACACAACCAACACCCGCTCACACTCACGCCCACCCCATATTTCAATTAGAAAAAATCGAACAACATCGATTTCAACGAGATGTAATATAAATTATTTTTTATTAAAAAATAAATAAAAAAAATTGAAATACTTTAGTTCAATGGAATAATAAAATCAATTGTTGATAAAACGTTTATAGCTGAACCGAATGTTGAACGATAATTACCATTTGAAGCTGAACAAGATTCAATAAATCTTGATTAAGAGAAAACATGGCCAACTAAACAAGATATTCAACAATGTGAACATCAATTGAAAAAACGTGTACCTAAAGGAACTTCTCAATATGAAACTGCATGAATTATTTCTGATGATGAAGATAATCAGTCTCTCAAGCGACAAAATGTTTAGTTTTTTTTTAATATTAACTCTTTTTCAATATATTAGGATTTTGATGAAGATCATCAATAAATGATGACTGATTATGCTGATGATCTACAATCAATTAAAGTTGATCAACAAGAACATGAAGAAGAAATCGATGAACTTTTTATGAATCGAAATAATTATGATGAAAAAAACAGATTTAGAAGAAGATAAACAAACGTTTGTTTTATATATCTGATTATATTTATTTTAATTCAAATATTTAATTTAGTTTAAAAAAATTGAAAGAAGCTAAATTAGATGAATAATTTCCTGATGAAGTTGATGCACCAATGGATGTTCCGGCCCGTGTTAGATTTCAAAAATATTTCATGTTTTTCTATTTTTTTCTATTTATCTAATTTTGTTTTATTGTTCTGATAAAGATATCGAGGTTAAAAAAGTTTTCGAACAACAAAATGGAATCCAAAAGAAAATTTACCATATGATTATGGAAGAATTTATCAATTTCCTAATTTTCGTAGTATGATTAAACAAATTGAAAGTGAACAAGAATATAATCAACATAAACAAGATCATGCTCAGGTTAAACTTTTTCTTTTTAAATATATGTATATATCTAGTTTCATTACTCAATTAATTTATCAAGAGATTTTATTGAAGAATTTTTTAAAAATTAGCGTTAAAAAATGATTATGTGCATATCATATAGAAATATTCTTTTGTGCTTTTTCCTATTCTTCTCGAGTTGGTTTTATGTTGAAATTTATTTTGAATAGATTTTCATAAAAAAGAAACAAATATTTAATAATGTTGACAATGAATTTGTTTTGTCATCATTGACATTTATTAATCATCGAAGTTTTATATGAGTGTCAGATAAAGAGAGAAGAAATGCGGAGTGATTGTTCTTTCCTTGACAATTCTTTATCAATTTTTCTCAGCAAAAATACGATCGTCTCCATTTACCGAAATCTAAAATCTAACATTGTTTATCTCTAATTAAGTGCGAATACTCGTAAAAGATAATCAATCCGATTATTTTCAATAAGATGTGTTGAAAGCAGTTGCGATCGTGTCCTCCAGCTAAATTTCGCACAAGTTTAGCAGATTGATAATATTGTCGAATTAATGACTAAAATCTAAATATTCTACGATAAATAGATAATTGTAGATTTCTGAAAAAAATTGATTTTATTCTTAAATGTAAATATGTTGAATAATGTTGTTGATCAGAATTGAAAAGAAAAAACAAAAAGTGTTTTTGACAGTGCCCTATCATTATTAGTCAACAAATAATAAATTGTTTTTTCTAAATGGGTTCATTTCTGATCAAAGAACAAATTTTATGATTGATCAAATCGATAATTCACAATTTATTTAAATCAAAATCTGAGCATCTTATACGACTTTTTTCAGTTCCTTTTTCAAATAAATCTTTTTATTCAATTTCGAAGCAAAAGATAAGTTTTTGACTGAGCTTAGCAGTAAAAAAAGAAACGTTAGAGAGTGATAATCTGATTATAATCAATAGATGTTGAAATTTATGATTTCGTGCAGGTAGATTTTCAATGCTTCATATATTTAAGAATGAAGAAAAGCTTTGTGTTCTATATAAATGTAATTAATTTTTTAATAATAATATTTACCGAAGATTTTTTTTTTCCAAAGATTTTATTTGATGAAATACTTATTTTAATTTGTATATTTGTTACAGGTGCATAGTTATGTAACTCTTTATGTAAAACATGTGCCCATCAGTAGAATTGGTAAGAAAAAAATTTTTTATAAAAAATCAAATACTCGAGAAAAAAAACTTGTTGTTATTGTTTTTTTTTCAAAGAACCTGCTCATCTATTATTTGTAACGGGTCTTTTAGCACATGAACAGTGTTTATCAGTATTAAATATTGTCTTAAATCGTACAAATGATAGTGAAATAATTGTTAATTCAAAAGAACGTCTTATATTTCATGTTGGTTTTCGTCATTTTTCAACTTCACCGATTTATTCTCAACATTCAAATTGAGATAAACATAAAGTTTGTTACTAATTGATTATTATAATAATTAATATAGATAAGAATATTTTCAATTAGTTTGAAAGAGTTTTTCGGCCACGACAAACTCTTGTTGCAATATGTATTGATCCAATAACATATCCACCTGCATCGGTTTTTGCATTTAAACAATTTCCTGATGGTATTTTATTCGATTTTTTAAATTAAAAAAAAAAAAAACTTAATTTTGCTTTTTGTTAAATAAAGGTCGTCAACAATTACTAGCAACTGGTTCTCTTCTTTCAGTTAATTCTGGTTTGATTATTTTTTCTTGCTAAAATTCCTATTATTTATTATTTAAATAGACGATGTTAATTGGTTTAAACCAATTGAATTACATACACAAGATGGGGCCGACGAGGACATATTAAAGAATCACTTGGTTTGTTATTTATTGTTATTTATTAATTAAATATAAAGATAAGATTTATTTTAATATAAAAGTACACATGGTCAGATGAAATGTCTATTTGGTGGAATTTTTAAATCACAAGATACTATATTTATGAATCTCTATAAAAGTGTTCATCCGAAATGGATATATGAAAACATTGTCGATTCAACAACAAGAAAATAATGAAGAAGATATTCAGTGATTTGTTTCATTTTACATCGTTAAATGTTTTTCTTCGAAAATAAATATAAAAAAAAAAAAGAATTTTATATAAGGAAATTTTTTTAAACAATATTTTCTAATTGTTAAAATATATATAATTTACTAGTATCATTCACATTTATTTCATAAAATAATTATTTTCATTGAAATATTCAATTAATTATATAAATTATTTTTATCAATAGTAACATAAAAAGATCTTCTTTTATCCATTGATGAATATATCTTATCAGAACGATTATTTTTCTTATTTTCTTTTTTTTAAATTCAATCTTGGTCTGTACTTCTACTTATAAGAATAATGGGAAATTTTTTTGCTTCTTACATCTATTCTTTTAGAAAGTAAGAAAAATTTGTTGTTTTTCACAATGATTTTTTAATTCAATTTCTATAATATAAAATATCGAGTTTTGTTTCGAATAGATCTTTTGTTTTTGTGCATTCAGTCATTTGAAAAGGTAGTCAATCTCATAAATCAATTCAATTACTTGAAATCAGCCTTTTGTTTTGTTTGAGTAATACAGAAAAATGTTCTAGCTAATCTTAATAGTTAATATTACAACCAGCAAGTTACCAGTAAGCAATAACTTATGAGATTATCAATGAAAGAATATTTTTCCAAATCATTTACATATTATATAGTGATATGAAAGGTTTTTGACCAGGTTTGATTCATTAAAATGTGTAATCAGTTTCTCGAATTTGTTTACTTGATTTTTTGCTGTAATGAAATCTTTTTTAGAACACTTAATAAACATTATCGATTTCAGAGTTCAATTCGTCAATCATGAATATTTTTGATCCAACCTTATAAAAAATCGCGATTTGTTCAAATAGTTATTGCTTGACCAATGAATCAAATTTCATGATTTTCCCATTATAAGTTACTTCGGAAGATAACAATCATTTGTTCCTCTTCATTAGAGTAGTCACAGTCATTTTAGATATCATTCGAAATGAATAAAATAATGATATCCACTTTTTCCTTCGGTTTTTTTGTAAGACAATAGACTGAGCAGCAACCACATATATTAAAATCGATGGTAGTCTTTTGAAAATTTTCGACATCTAGAATGATTCTTGTCTAGTTCTCTTTATTGTTACGTTGTCTACGATCATTTTCTACAATTTTCATTTCAAACATTTCTCAGAACTAACAAAATTTTAAAAAAATTCATCTCATGCTTCATCGATCGGCATAGATAAATGCATCGACTATAAAATCGATGGAAACATTGTCATGCATCAAATTATTAAAATCTTATCAAATTGAGATAGATCGTTCTTCATTGAGTTCAATAATTTACTGATTAAGATAACCATAGAAATGTTTAAAAAAATTCAAATCAATTCCATTTTACCATTCATCACATAAAAGACAACCGATGAGTCAATGATGAGAAAAACAACTAGAATATATATTTAGATACGGACAAGCATCATTATCATGTTTATATTAGCTGAGCCATCTGAGTTTTCTATTAAGAACAAATAAACATTAATAATGTATCAATGCCGGATTGAATAATAGCATCAACTATTTCAATATTAGTATCAATGACGAGATTTCATTTTTATTTAGTCTCATCGGGGGATAATATGCATATTTAAAAAGATGCATATCAGTTACTGTTGTTTCTCTAAGCATAAAATATCCAAGTCACAATCAATTAAAACACGTTGATCAACGATAGACCTATCAGAGGTCCAACCAGACCCATGTTTTGCAGGCCTGGCCTACCTACTTGTCATTTTCTTCGGCTTGCCTGGCAAGACCTGTCTAGTGTTTTTTAAGCCAACATAATTATACTAATATGATATAACTAAGTATTAGTCTTCATAGAAAGTCCAGCAAGTTAATGAAATCAGTTTAGATGACACAAGTAAAAAAGTTTTTGATGTGAATATTCAAGAAAATATTTAAAAGTGTTCACTATACAGAGGTGATTCTCTCTTATCTGTGCAACAAAGGATATAGGAAAAGGAGTAGAACAAAATAAAGTTGACCACAGGAAACTTTTTTCAAATTGTTCAAAGTCAGAAAAAAAAGCATTCATATGCCGTTATCAGGAGGCTTTAACTAAGAAATGATTGACTTCGGAACAAAAATGGCTCAGCGTGAATTCAGATTATTCACTATAATGAGATGTTCACATCGTAGAGACGTTGATGGTATAAAATTTTACTCTACATTTAATATGAAGTGAAAAATAAAAGTGTCGAGGAAAATAAAGAAACAGACATACATTAATATTGAGAAAAACAATCTGTTTTTTTCTTCAAAAATATTTTCGAAAAATCTGACAGACAAATTTAAAACAAAAATAGACCGTTCAACTTCAGCTAAATTAACTGGGGTTTAAAAACTGGTTCAGAGCAAGTAATGATAAAGGCGGAAAAGATGATTCAACGTGTGAGGAAATAGACTCCCTAGTAGGATTTTACTTTTTTTTCTGTGCATAACTATTGCACGACGAGTTCGAAAGTGATCACTGGCAGAATTAGCTCTAATGTACGTATTAACTCTGTACTCATATGGTTTGAAATAGTTAATAAACATACTATATCTCATCATCGATAATAATTAGATCTATTTAACTATTGTTATAGTGATCGATCAAGCTAGTTTTTAAACAGTTTGACAGTGATTTTTAAGCACTCTGAAATGATAAAAAAACATCGAAAAGATAATTCTTGAGATATGATTTTCAGTGGTCTGGACTGGTATTTGATAGATTTCAACCAGAAGTACAGCTTAGGTAAAAACTAAAATCATCTTATGAATCAGTATTTAACACTGAGTAGACTTATGCCAATTTTCAATCTTTTTATTGACCTTTTATCGTTGACAAGTCACCCAGTCTCTTCCGGATTAAGTCAAAAAAAATGAAACTCGTTAAGAGTGTTTCTGATGGCTTACATAAACGCTATTTTTTGTTCTAGTGTCATTGTGCAGCCTTAGAATTCTTTTCCATTAGTGAAACCACTTTTTGATGCGATTCATATTTTGACTTAATCTTGATGGATACTTGATGCTTTTTTCGACGATAGAAGATCGATAAAAAGATTGAAAATTTTTATTAGTCTGCTTAATGTTGAATGCTGGTTCTCAATATGATTTCAGTTTCTATCCCAACTGTACTTCTGATTGAAATCTACCAAATATCAGTCAAAGACACTCAAATCATGTCTGGAGCAATGTTTCCTTCGGGTGTTTTTTTTACTGCCATTCATTTTTTTCTCCGATGTTCACTTAACATTTCGAATAGCTTGAAAATCCTTATCAAACTATATTAAAGTTAGTTTAGTTCGCTACCATATTGACAATTAAATAGACTTGATTATCATCAATAGTCAGACATAATACACTAATTGATTATTTCAAACGATCTGAATACAGTATCAACAGTTGCAAGAGAGCGAATTCTACTAGCGATCACTTTCGAAGCTCTTGTTTAATAATTTTGCTTAAAAAAAAACTTTCCATGGGAAGTGTTCATCGACTATTGAGCTCCTCTTTTGTGTTGAAAACCTATTCATATTGACAGTAGATTTGATTGTTTATATTTATCTTCAATATTTCTTCTCAAGCATTTATCTAATTCATCATATTTAAATGTCATCCTTCAAAACTACTCAACTAAATTTATTTTCTTGAATTAAATTCAATTCATGCGACAGATTTTTCATATCGACGAAAAAAGTAGATAGGCCAAGGGCCTGGCCTGCCTGTCACAGGCAGATAGGCAGGTCTAGTGACCTGGTTGGGGATCTGAAACCTATCTATAATAAATATCTTAATAAGTTTCGATAATAAATTTCATAGGTATTTTGTCACAAATTATATATTATCGCATAAAGAGGCATTTGAAGCTCATTCATTACGTGTTGATCATGGCAATAAATCTTATCTATCATTTTTGTTATGTTCTTTGTTTAATCAATCCGAAAAAATTACCTTCTCTATAGCTAACTATATTCGAACAAAAGATATGTATCTTCATAAACTTCAATTGGTAAATGTAAGATAATTATTGTTATATGATTTTATTTGAAAATAATAGGATAGAGCAGTCAATACATCATAACTAGACATGTGCGGGACCAGTCCCGGTCCCGGTCCCGGTCCCGGTCCCGGTCCCGGTCCCGGTCCCGGTCCCGGTGGCCGGGACCGGGACCAAAAAATAGAATTTTACCGGGACCGGGACCGGGACCAAAAAATAGAATTTTACTGGGACCGGGACCAGGATCGAAAAACAATTTAGTCCCGGTCATGTTTGCCGTTGATAAGAAACATCGGCGGAAATACAAGTGAGAACTGCTCCAGATCTAAAACCGGCAGATTCCGCAACAACTTCTCTGACTATGGACAAATAACAGAAAAAGTAAGGTTACTTAGACTGGGTGTAGAACAAAAACCAAATTTAACACATTCGACGCGATTCGGTTTTATTAAAGAGTAGCTCTAGAGATTCATTTTCGTCTGCATTCATCTTGCGATAAATGCACTGCTTGGTCTTTTCATCCTATGCTGATCTGTCGTTTTCTCTTTTCCATTTGTAATATCACATGTAGCGAAGTAACCATTCTGTAGTTTGGCGAAACCCCTGTGAGGTCATTTCAGCATGACATGCCATTCGAGAAGTTGAATCAGCAACCCAATTCAAGCGCGAATTCACTAATCGCAAGCTCGAAGAAAAGGAAGGATTTAAGGGCAATGTCCGCAGACGCTGTACTGGCTGCTTTGCGAAAGGAAGGGCACAACAGTCAAGAGAAGCGAGCTATGCGGTAGCAAAGAAAGTAAAAACGTTCTGTTGTGAGTAACAATTTTTTTTGTCTTGATTTTTTTAACAAGACCCATCATGCTATG